ACGCCCACCCACCCACAACACCAATAACACCACAAAAAATATCTCTAAGCAAATGTAATTAATTAAAGCTTAAGTCAAACAAGAATTGTCTTTTATGTAGATACAATTAAATTTGATTACGTAGACTACACCTAATTCCAAAATTATTGTTTATTAGTATTTTTTATTGCAATACAGATAGATTCAAAATTTAAAATTTATAAGTTTTTATAATAACTTTAAATTAAATAAATATACGACAATAATTAAATTTCATCATCAAATAATTATTATCAATCACTTTAATATACGATAATAATTGAATTTCGATAAACCCGCACATGATAATCTGGATCTGCCATTGCACAACAATAGCAACTTTTGTATATTAATTAAATTGAAAAAAAGAAAAGAATATAATAGAAGTGGTAAGCTGAGTAGATGGATAAAGTTTTTGTTAGTTCAACATAGTTCATAAAAGTTTTTGTCAAAGGTTGGATAAGATAATATAAAAATAATAATTTATATATACTGACAAATAATATATATTAAAAAATATATATATTATCAGGTTATATTTAATTTCAAGATTAAAAAACTTTAATTTAAGTGAAAGGTTTTTTACACGTATCTTTTGAATATTTTTAATTAATATATAAGTTAAAGTCAAAGAAAATACTAACAAAAATTGTGATAGAATGAATAAGATACTCTTATATTATAAATTGAATATCGGATGAAAAAAATACATCTCACACAACACAAATTTAAATTAATTAAGATTTCAATATTAGTCTAGCTTAAGATAACTATTTTTAAGAAATTGATCTATTAATTTCCTTTCCATATTGAAGCATTTTAGTTCCATAATGGTAATATTTTTTTGGGAAAAGGGACAAATATATCCTCGAACTATCGTAAGTGGTATGCAGATACCCTTCATCATACTTTTGGGACATTGGTGCCCCTGTCGTCCAAAAACTAGAGTATATATATACCTTGTATACTAACGGACATACATGTGTCATGATCTTATTCACTGATCCGACATTTATTAAATATCGGATCGACGGATAAGATTGCGCTTTGTGTCCCTATTTAGTCTTCCATTAGAGTGAAGGGCATGTATGCTCTAGTTTTTGGACAGCAAAGGCACCAATGTCCCAAAAGTATGACGGAGGATATCTGCATACCATTTACATCAATTCAGAGGTATATTTGTCATTTTTCCCATTTTTTTTCTAAATGCATTTTGTCTTCTTATATTTTTTTTTCTCCTTTTTTTATGTAAAGATGAAGAGGAATTGGCTTTTCATTTATTTCACTATCTTTGCTTTATATGCATACACATTAATTTCAAAAAGGTGTGTTTACGTAAGCCATTTTCGACTTTTATGGGATAGATGAAGCATTAACTTGAAGTCGTTGTAGAAAAATTCATAATTTTTAAATGTTGAATCCATTTAAGGTCAACGCCACACATGAATTATTTAATGGGTAAAATATGGGGCATGTGAATCCGTAGTCTCTCAGTAAAACATGATATTTTATGTATATATCTTCTAAAATTGATACTATAATATTATCTCTTGACGTTCATGCTATAAGAAGGTTAAATGGTGTACTAGATTGAACGTCAAGTTACTTACGTAGAGACCTAGAAATCAATTTCTACTTAATACTAAAAATCCTATATTTATCTCTAATCAACGCGCGTATACGAATCGCCGCATACACTACTGACATAAGCAGCACTCCACAATCATCCAAAGCTTATACTAAAGCAAGAAACTTAAAAACTTGATAGTAATGTCAAAATATTCCAGAATTCTTGGAATGGATCCATATAGAATTCAGTAAAAAATGATGTCAAAATGCACTTTTTAGGTCCTGACATGTGTTCCAATTTCTAATGATCTCATGCCTCTCAAGGTTCAGACACATTACAACAAATAATATATTCAATTCAATATAATGTCACGCGTGAAATATGGAGTGAAATATATGCAAACTACGATATATCTTTCTGGTTGTGGGGTAGAGAGATTGTTACCAATATAGACTCTCGGCTCATAGTTTAGACACATTACGACAACTACAACATATCCAGTGTGTGCAATAAGCACATAACACCACGACTCGAATCTGAAAAAGGGTGAAAATCATTTACACCCCCAACTTTGCTCTAAATATCGTACTCCGTTTCCAACTTTGAACAATAGACA